GAGCAGTCTCGACTAGAGCTTTCTTACTTGTTATCTCAATTTTTATCTCAAACTCAGAACACATTGCTGTCATTGCATATAAGTATGTGAAAATTGTCTATGAAAATTTTACAATATATGTATAAATTTATTAAAATTGTATTATAATTTATGAAATTAATACATGACTAGACTAATGAATCATTAAATAAATCATTCATAGCAATTAAAGCAATCTGAGTTCTTGGAATTTATTGTAATATAATGTTTCTTCTATTTCATCAATATGAATATTGAAATTAATTTCATTCCATTGCAATGTGAGAGCTTTTCTTTATTTATTATTATTATTATTATTTATCTAGTCTTTGGGATATAAACATTTACTTATTTCTTAATGATGGAATAATTAAATGTAAATTTAATTTTTGAAAATATTTATGTGGGGCCTCAATTTTCGGTTCGTTAACAAAATAAAAATATTAATAAGAGCGGGGTCCATAACTCGAGTTGGGTTACATATGTATATCTGACCCAAGGAAATAAAAGAGCCTAAACGATATTTTCATACTTTTCCACACATTTGAAAGCATTATTTCAGATCTGAATACTAACACGTAAGCGTAATTTGTAAATTTATGAAAATAAAATTTTAATTCTGTCTGAACAGTGGCTTAAAGCAGCCGTAAATCAATCGGCCAAGGCGTTGCCTCAGACATTCGCCTTCCTTCCACGGGCCAGCCAGCAACAAGCGATTGTTTGTCATGTGGCAGTTGCTGCTGCTGCAGATGGCGCATAATTAAGGCGTCGTGGCAGACGGCCAACAAAGCAAATGAAGACCCGCGGGAGCCACTACTTCGGGGGTATGCACGTGAATGTGCCGCACCGTGCCGTTACGTTGAGTCTCAGCTGACTTTGTCTGGCGCTTGTTTTATGCGTCGCGCGTTTGAGCCGCAACATGCATAATTATAGGCAACATATAGGCACACGAGCCGGCGCTAATGGCAACCAGGTAGGCCTCGTGCATTGCGTGTTCCGGCCGGGATTTACTGCAAGCCTACAGCAGCAAGAACACAACCGCAAAGTGTTTACGAGTTGTTTGTTGGTGTCGCAATTCTCTTGTTTTTTTTTTTAATTTTCAACAAAATGTTGCGTTTTGTTTAACAAACCATCAAGCCAGCCAGCAGCAAACATATTCAGGCTCAATTTGTCAAGCAAACATTAAATAGTTTGTTGTTGCACGTGATAAAAAGTGCAACACTTATTATGGCCAGTGTGTTGCCTATGTAATTGTAAATTACTAGGGTTGTTTGCAAGTGAAATCTACAACTTTTCATTAGGCTCAGACATCAGGGAACTTCTGTGTGCATATATAGTAAATTTATTTATAGTTGTATCACATTTAAAAAATAAATGTGATACAACTATACATTTATATATAATTATAAAAGCAGTTATTAGTGTATAAAGCTCTATTTCCAAAATATACTTATATGGAATAGGTTGTGTATGCTTAGTGATTAAATAGATGACACAAAATGAATATATGTATGTGGTTGGTAAATTCGATACAAAGGGAGAACAGCGTATTGTTTTTGCTTCATTTGCAGCTTAAACCACAAATGCAGGTGGGCGTGAGTGCTCAGCTGTGGCATAAACATATTATTTGGTGCTCCAATAGCAGCTCGACAGAGCATCAAGCCGGGATACACATACGAACAGCAGCAGCCTACCTTTTCACATGCTACACCAACCCCTTATACACACACATATAAGCACATTCAAGACACATACATATGTATTCCATATACTCGTAATTGCGCTGTCTTGCGCTGTGTCAACAGTCCAGCTGACAGTCAACTTGCTGCCGGCTGAGCTAGTCGCGCCTGGCAAAGGACTTCTTCTTACATGTTGATATTAATTTTATGTTAATTACAATCTTTACATGTTTGCTCGCGTCCTACACACAAGCCATGTGCTTGGCTCCATGTTTTGGTTCGCCGCTCCAAGGGGTGGATCCTGCTGCTCCCGTGAGTTTTCCTTGTGTCTTGATATGCTCAGCATCAGATTAGCCTGTCGCAAAAGTCATAAATGCAGATGCCGACATTTCGTTTGTCCCCCTTGGGGCATTTGCTTTGTTTTTAAGTCCCATCTCAGCCACTCGTCAACCCTCCCACTCTTGGTTTTGCAGCGTTTACCCCACCCGCTTGGCAATTTGTCGCGTTCGCACGACCTTAACGCAAAATGAAACAGCCACTTTATGGCTTGTGTGTGTGAGTGTGTTGGTACTCTGAATGTCTTTGGTATGCATCTCTTCGTCTGTGACTGTCTCCTTTGTGACTCATGGCGTGAAATAAAAGTGAGCTCTTGATACCTTAGCAAAACAGCAGAGTGGATACGCTAACCTCTCTACTCCTTGCTGCGCGTCGGGAAATCTATATTCAAAAATCGTCATGTCTATTAGATTAATACCTTTGGAACTCCTATAAAAAAGCCACCCATATATTCTTAGTATATGCGTCTTTCGAAATATATATGATATAAGCTCACATGCAGTCAAGTAGGAGGGATTTAAGTGGGTCAATAACCTCTAAATAAAAAATAATATATAA